AAACCCAAAAAATACTTCTCAACTTTTTTAATGGTAAAAATTTAAAAATTTTGGGATAATATTGGGGGAAACATAACTTAAATCCAAAAATTGAGTACAGCCCAAAGATCCCACATTTTTTTCAAACTTTAACAAAAGCCCCCCAAAAAAAAAAAAAAAATTGAAAAAAGAGAAAAAAAAATTGCAATTAAAAAGAGAAAAAACTAGCCCCCCCCCCTTTGAAACCCTTTAGTACAAAGGGAAAGTCTCATGAATCTGATCTTACATTTGACCTTGAGTACAGGTAACATCTCAGGGGAATTTTGATCTTTTCATTTGGGCCCTTTTGTAAGGTAAATCTATTAAGAAACTGATCTTACATTTGACCTTTTAGTACAGGGAACTCTCAGGAATCTGATTTAAAATTTGGCCCCTTTAGTACAGGTAACATCCAGTGGGAAACTGCTTACATTTTACCCTTTTGGGGTACAGGTAACATCTCAGTGAATCTTATCTTACATTTGAACCCTTTAGTACCGGGAAAAAATCTCAGTGAATCTGATTTAACATTGACCTTGGTTCATGTAAATCTCAGTGAATTTTGATCTTACATTTGGGCCCCTTTAGTACAGGAAAAAAACCTCATGAATCTGATCAAAAAATTTTACCCTTGAGTACAGGTAAATCCAGTGAAACTGGGTTTTTACATTTAAACCTTTAGTACAGGGTAAATATCTCAGTGAATTTTGGGTCTTTCATTTTGACCTTGAGTACAGGGAAAATCTCAGTGAATCTGATCTTACATTTGGCCTTGAGTACAGGTAAAATCCAGGAATCTTTATCTTAAAATTTGACCTTGGGTCGGGAAAGTCCAGGAACCCGTCTTACCCTTGGGGGCCCTTTAGTACAGGTAAAAATCTCAGTAATTTATTTTTCATTTGACCTTTAGGGACATTAAAAATCTCAGGAATCTGATCTTACATTTGACCTTTAAATACAGTTTAAAATCTCAGGAAAGGATGGTAGATTGCCTCAAAGGGGCCTAAGGAGTGGGCTTGGGCTAAAATATTATCCTCCAATTTGGGTGTCATATGCCTTCTCAAGGTAAAAAAATTTATGGCAATAACTGAGGGGTTTATTCGCAAAGGCATTACGAACATACGCATCCAAGCATAGTAAGGGGTCTATGGTAGAACGTCCCTTACGAAAGCCATATTGACGAGTGGAGAGACTGTTGTGTGTCTCTAAATACCACACTAAACGTCTATTTACTAGGCGTTCCATTACTTTGCAAACTGCACTGGTAAGAGCAATGGGACGATAGTGGGAGGTTTCATGTCCCGTAGTGCCTGGTTTGCAGAAAGGGAGAACAATGGCGGATTTCCACAGCTGTGGAAGAACTCCTTGTGACCAAATAAGATTGTAAAGGCGTAATAGGACTGCAAGGGCTGACTGATGTAAATGTTGTAGCATACGAATATGAATGTCGTCGGGCCCAGCTGCCGATGATCGACAAGCTGAGAGTGTTGCCTCCAGTTCTCTGAAGTGTAAAAGGCACATTATACTGTTCTTCTCTGAGAGAAGAAAAGTCCAAGGTGCTAACTATCTGGCAGACTTTGAGGAAAGAAATGAGGGGCATAGATGGAGTCCCTGAGAAATACAGACCAGATGATTGCCAATTTCATTGGCAACATCTAGTGGGTTTGCTATATCAACACCGGAACCCGCAGAACAGGAGCCGGGTCAGGAGAATATTTACCACTCAGTTTTCGTACTTTTTTTCCAGACTGCACTCATAGAGGAAGCAGAGGTGATGGTGGAGACATAATTCAGCCAGCAAGTGCGTTTAGCATCACAGATGACACGGCGAGCGATCGCACGCTTCTGTTTAAAATCAAGGAGTCGCTCTGTGGTTCTATTGTACCGGTACCTGCCCCATGCAGCGCGTTTCAAACGTACTGCACGAGCACAAGCAGGAGACCACCAAGGCACGCATTTCTGAGAATGCCTGCCCGAAGTTTGGGGTATAGAATGAGAAGCTGCAGTGAAAACGGAGGACGAGAAGAGGTGTAAAAGCTCATCGATGGAGGACGAAGAAGGAACCTCTTTAAAAAACAGTTAGGTGTGAGTAAAGGTTCCAATTTGCCCGATTAAATTGCCAGCGTGGGGTGCGAAGAGGTGGCGAATATGAAGGGGAAGTAAGAATGATTGGGAAATGATCACTGTCATGTAAGTCCGGGAGAAGAGACCAAGTGAAGTCTAATGTGGCGGAGGAAGAGCAGACTGAGAGATCGATACAAGAGAGAGTATGAGTCCGAGGATCAAAATGGTGTGAGTACCTGTATTTAAAACATGGAGGGGGTGGGTGGCAAGAAAAGCCTCTAACTGAATTCCACGGGAATCACAGTGAGACCCCCCCCCCAGAGGAAATGGTGGGCATTAAAATCACCAAGTAACAGAATCGGTGGCGGTAATGACGAAACAAGGAAGGCAAAATCCAGAATAGATAATGCCCGAGAAGGACAGAGATATAAAGAACAGAGCGTATACCACCTATGTAAGTGGATACGGGCTGCTGTGTAATGCAGCGAAGTATGAACAAATAGCTGATGGTACGGAATATCAGTGCGTAGAAGAAGGTCACTTTCATTAAAGGTCCCATTAGGAAAAGGATCTGAAGAATACAATAAATTATAGCCTGAGATGTGAGAAATAACAGCAGAGTGTAATTTTAGTTCCTGTAAGCAAACACTAACAGGGGCAAACTGGGAGAGTAACATCTGAAGCTCACCCCGATTACCCCTGAGGCCGCATATATTCCACTGTAAATAGGCCATGATTGGCAATGATAAGAGATACTTGAAATCCGCAGTGGTTCCTACAAAATAGGAAATAAAATCAAAGCGAGCATGGAAAACGTTCAGCAGCTAGGAACGGTGCACTGGAAGAAAGGAGTTGCGCATGGAGGAAAAAGAGCGGAAGGTGGATCAGTTCCACTGATGGTTTGGTCTCTGCAATATAATTCAGAGATGCCAAGTTTGAATCAAGACGTCTTTGGGAGACAATTTGGGAATTGGGGGGGATATGTAAGATTGGAACGATTAATTGACTCCAGTAAGGGGGGCTAAGGTGGAGCAGGAAAATTTAGGAAAAAAGAGGCAGGAACCTGTGAGGTGGAGAAGAAAGAAAACTGGAGGAACAGGAAAGGTACAGACGGTTGAGGGTGAATCCTCTAACTGTAGAGCCAGTGTTGAGAGGGAAGAAAGGAAGTCAGGGAGGGTAAATAGGGTGGAAGATGGTAGAGGTGTTCCGGACCTTTTTTGAATTTTGAGAAGTAGAGGGCGATTGGAGATAGGTTTTTCAGCTCCTCGATACTGAGGCTTGTGAAAGAGAACTCGAAGAAATAATATGGCGTTTGAAGTAGGACGCCCTGAGGGACCAGGATTAGAACAGGAGTGATTTGGAAGGTAACCACAGGGTTGTTTTGAAGATGGATACCAGAATGGGGGACGTTTGATAGGAAAGAAAACACGTGGGAGTCTCCCTTGGAGCGGATAAAATGTCCTGGCATAAGGAGACTCTGTCTCTTTGAAGGTAAGGTATTCCACGGTTTAAATAGACTTGACAACGGCGAGATGAAAGGGTTGAGCCTCATGACAGTTAAGGCAAGAGGGAGATGATTGCAAGAGTATTAGAATGGTCATCGGCACCACAGACTGGGCATTCGGCCGATAGATCTGCAATATTTCGCTGGATGGCCAAATCGCCAGCAATATTCTACACTGTTGTGGTGTAGGATCAACCTTTCGAACTTGTAACCGATGTCCTGCATATAAACTTGAAGTGGGAGTTCTTGGCTGTCAAAAGTTAACAACATTCTCAAGGTATCGCTCCGCCCGAGAAGGAAAATAAGTGCTACCTTGAGGATTTTGAGATCTATTTTTCCAGCTGTTCAAGAATGTCAGTCCACAGTGTGGAAAATTTGTTGGAACTAAGGGATGGGCTGAATGAATCGATGAGAATTGGGGATGTTTTTTTAAGAGTGACAGAACAGTATCGATATGGGAAAGACAAGGCTCATGAGCCTGGTAGCATTCTGTAGGTAATGATGCACTAACTTGTTTAGAATAAAAAAATTTTACCACTCGGGTGGAGTCTTTAATTGGTAAGAGTTTGAAATGGTAGAGGAAATCAGAGCGTGAAGGTATAAAACAATGAAGTTTTGAGAACAAAGGTGGAAATCTCAAGTAATATTGATTGGTTTGGTGGGAAGAGTTGGTTCTGACGTGAAGGTCGGCGATTTGAAAATGCCGCACCGTAAGGGAATAAGCGAACATAGTCAGGTAGAACGAAAACATAAAAAAGGGTCAGTCGAGGCCTCAGTACCATAGGGTTAAACAGCACTGGCAATAGTAAGAGGCATGAGGATGTCTGAAGAGTGGTCCAAAGATGAGCGGGGTCAGAAGGTGGTATCAAAAGGGCCCGGGAGTAGTAGGTCATGGACAGAGCTGCCATGGTTAGGTTACTTCTTCTTTTGTTTTTAGAAAAAAAAAGCAAGAAGAAAAGAAAATAAAAATAAAAAAAAGAATAAAAAAATGGGGGACCAGGGAGGGATAGTTCCTAGGAGGAATGAAAGGGCCAGAAATCTCCCTCCATGCCCAAGAGGACCTCAGCACCGCAAGTAGCGCAGATGCAGCATGAACCCGTGCCATACCCTACCCATCATGCTAGTAAACTAACAATCCGGGATAGCAACCTCACATCTGCCGAGCTACCTCGGTGGACAAAAGAGAGGGCAGCCGGATATCCGCCACAAAGCATACCTCCTTCGGCCACCACCCCCGGAATCCGAAAGGTGCCTTCCAGAAATACACTCGTCGCCCGAAAGACACCCAAAGCTACTCCGGGATACCGGAGAGGGATCGGGACATCCCCAGGCGATCCAGATTCCACGGCAAACTACGCCACTGCTAAGAACCTCAACGGAATGGGATGGACCCGGTATCCTTTCCCCTACCTAGGAACTAGCGTGCCTGTGGGAGAAATCCCAGAGGCCAAAAAGAGGAAGGGCAAAAGGGAGGGGTGGGGAGGAGGAGGAGGAAAGGAAAAAGGGGAGGATGGGGAGGATAGGATAGGGGAGGGGTGATTGGGGGGTAATTAGGTTCGGTCTGAGGAAGAAGACCGACAGGTCTAATTCCTCAGACCAAGAGCCTCTTCACCACGCCAAGGAGCCCCCCTTGAAGAGGAGAATGTGTATATAACTAAAATAATCCTGACACATTGAATACTAATATGTTTTATCTCCTGTATGTACTCACATATGTTTCACAAGACTGCCTTTTTGATTAAAACATTTCAGACACTCTTAACATTGAAATGTTTTATCTCCTGTGTGTACTCGCATATGTGTCACAAGATTGCCTTTTTGAGTAAAACATTTGAGACACTTTGAACATTGAAATGGTTTATCTCCTGTGTGTACTCGCATATGTGTCACTAGACTGCCTTTTTGAGTAAAACATTTCAGACACTCTGAACATTGAAATGTTTTATCTCCTGTATGTACTCGCATATGTGTCACAAGACTACCTCTTTGAGTAAAGCATTTCAGACACTCTGAACACGAAATGTTTATCTCCTGTGTGTACTCGCATATGTGCCACAAGACTACCTTTTTGAGTAAAGCATTTCAGACACTCTGAACACTGAAATGTTTTATCTCCTGTATGTACTCGCATATGTGTCACAAGACTACCTTTTTGAGTAAAGCATTTCAGACACTCTGAACACTGAAATGTTTTATCTCCTGTGTGTACTCGCATATGTGCCACAAGACTACCTTTTTGAGTAAAACATTTCAGACACTCTGAACACTGAAATGGTTTTTTTCCTGTGTGTACTTGCATATGTGTCAAAAGACTGCTTTTTCGAGTAAAACATTTCAGACACTCGGAACACGGAAATGGTTTATCTCTTGTGTGCTCTCGCATATGTGTCACAAGACTGCCTTTTTGAGTAAAACATTTCAGACACTCTGAACATTGAAATGTTTTATCTCCTGTGTGTACTCGCATATGTGTCACTAGACTGCCTTTTTGAGTAAAACGTTTCAGACACTCTGAACATTGAAATGTTTTATCTCCTGTGTGTACTCGCATATGTGTCACAAGACTGCCTTTTTGATTAAAACATTTCAGACACTCTGAACACTGAAATGCTTTTTCTCCTGTGTGTATTTGCATGTGTGTCACAAGACTGCTTTTTCGAGCAAAACATTTCAGACACTCGGAACAGTGAAATGGTTTATCTCCCGTATGTACTCGCATATGTGTCACAAGATTGCTTTTTTGAGTAAAACATTTCAGACACTCTGAACAATGAAATGGTTTATCTCCTGTATGTACTCGCATATGTGTCACAAGATTGCCTTTTTCAGTAAAACATTTCAGACACTCGGAACAATGAAATGGTTTATCTCCTGTATGTACTCGCATATGTGTCACAAGATTGCCTTTTTCAGTAAAACATTTCAGACACTCTGGACACTGATATGGTTTATTTCCTTTATGTTTTTCCATATTTTTCAAGAGAGGAAATTTCATTTTATAATATTTTAGTTATACAACAGTGGTATCATTAATCTTTCTTACATACTCTAATGCATATTTCAAAATTTACTTTGTTAAACTTATTTTAGCCACTGAAGAAACAGTTTTCCTCATAAATATATTATCAGGTTACAAAACTATTTCCACTTATGAGCTCTAATTAAGTTTTTTTTTTTTGAACTTAAAGGATTGCAATGATTTTTTTGTTTGTAAAAAGATTGACGTATATATTAGAACTTTCAGATATACTGAAAAACTTTATTATTATTATTTCTTAATTATGTTTAAACACATATTTTCTGAAAATTCTTAACTTCAGCATTACTAACTTGTATTTTTCTTTGAACTACAATGCAATTTTTAGATAGAATTCTATTTATGAAAAATGTTTTTTATTAATATTACCAGACCATTTAAAAACTGATCAGAATCACAAGTGTTGTTATTCTTGCAATACTGAAGGTATAGTGTCCATTTAGGTACAACCTGGAAGTGTTCCAGAAAATACTTCTGCAGTATCAGTTGTTGTACAAAACAGATGTTTGTTGATGTACTGGAGATATAATGTCTAGGAAGATACAACCTGGAAGTGTTCCAGAAAATACTTCTGCAGTATCAGTTGTTGTACAAAACAGATGTTTGTTGATATACTGGAGATATAATGTCTAGGAAGATACAACCTGGTAGTGTTCCAGAAAATACTTCTGCAGTATCAGTTGTTGTTCAAAACAGATGTTTGTTGATATACTGGAGATATAATGTCTAGGAAGATACAACATGGTAGTGTTCCAGAAAATACTTCTGCAGTATCAGTTGTTGTACAAAACAGATGTTTGTTGATGTACTGGAGATATAATGTCTAGGAAGATAACAACATGGTAGTTGTTCCAGAAAATACTTCTGCAGTATCATTGTTAGTACAAAAAAGATGTTTTGTTGATGTACTGGGATATATGTCTAGGAAGATACAACATGTTCAGTAATCTTCCAGAAAATACTTCTGCAAGAATCAGTGGTTCGTATAAAACAATGTTTTATTACTACAAACTATGATCTAGAAATACAAAATTTTCGTTTTGTATTATTCATGTTTACTAAATACAATTTATCATCATATTTTAAAGGAGTAAAATAGAATCTAAAAATTCTTCGAGTCATGTATAAGTGAAACTCAGTACATCAAAATTATGTGATTCAAGAAGGTTGTTTCAGTGCTGATACTGTTCCACTATCACACAAATTTTCCTAACCAATTTTCTTTTTAGTTAACCTAGTATCAAAATCTTCAAGGCCCATGGTGACTTTTCCGTACAAAATAAAAATTATATATTATATTATAATCAAATTAAGCCCTAACTCAACAAGGGTAATGAAGCACTGTGGGGGCAGAATAATAGTGGCTGAAAAAAATAAAAAAGTTATGAAAGTCAATGGCAGGTCATCTGCAAGAAAGGGAGGATAAGGTAAAGTGGTAGGCGACGGCATCGGTGGATGTAAATACTGCGAGCTCACTGGTAAACCAGACAATCATCAAGAAAGTTAAGAACTGAAATAAGGACCTAAGAAACCTCATTGAGAGGAATAGGATGTCGTTCCATGAGATACCCACTGGTAAGGCTGGCAATGGGCCGATTCCAGAGAACAGGAGAGTGCAGTCTCCTGAGTACGACAATAGTGGTAAGATGGCCATGAACCCAAAAGCAGTCACACTCAATCTTATGGTTAAAAACAGCAATCCTGATATCAGCCTTTTATTAAACAACTTATATGCATTGAACAGCAAATGTAATTATTATACAGCAGATCAAGCAAAGACATTACTAGTTAATTACGATGTCAGATGTTAGACCAAACATTATGATGACCTCAGAGCATTACTCAATTCTCTGCATACCAGTATGTCAATCATCACACTCACCAAAACCTGGCTAAAGCTGGGTAATACAGATGTTTATGACACTCCTGGTTACACAACCATACACAACTGTAGGACAGATCAGCAAAGAGGTGGAACAGCTATATACTACTCTGATCAACTTGAATGTATCACAAATTCTAGGAAACATGATAACTAATGCACATATCAACACAGACCACTTGCTACTCACAGGAGATTTCAACATAAATCTACTACACAACCAGGACCCAAAATTAACCGAATTCACAAACACTATGAGCAGCTGCTTGTTGCTACCAACAATAACAAAACCTACAAGAATCTGCAAGACAAGTATCTCCTTATACGACCACATCTGGACTAACACAATATACCCTTTGAAATCAGGAATGATCACAGACAACACCAAAGACCACTACCATACTTTTGCCCTCTTCTCCCCCCCCCCCATAACCAATCTAGGTAAATTGAACCAAGACACTACTAAAGTTACCTTCAGACTACATAACAAAACAGGTGTTAATAACTTTATAACAGTTGTCTCTTCACTTTTTAAGGCCTCTGGTATTTCACCTAGATCTAAGCTCTTTCCCCTCTCCAAGAAAAAGAACAATAATAACATAAGAAGTAGAACACTGCAGCAGCCTGTTGGCCCATACTTAGGCAAGGTCCTTTTACAATTTATCCCACTAAACAAACATTGACCAGACCGCAATTTCAATGTCCCACCACCCAGAAACAAAGCATCCGATGTGCAAGTCCCTCTCATCCATCAACCCCCCCACTCATGTACTATATCAACCTGAAATTTGAAACTACCCAAAGTCCTAAGCCTCAATAACTCCAACTAGGTAGACCGTGTTCCCACTCATCAACTACCCTATTTCCAAACCAAATACTTATCCTACTCCTTTCTAAATCTAAACTTAATCCTAATTTAAATAAAATCCATTACTGCGGGTTCTCTCATTGGAGTAGATATCCTCAGACCTTGTTAATATCCCCCTTATTAATACCTATCCTGTCCACTTATACACTTCGATCAGGTCTCCCCTCATTCCTTCTACTAACAAGTGAATGTAACTTAAGAGTCTTCAATCTTTTCACCTAAAGGAAGATTTCCCTAATGGCTATTGTATTTAATTTGTAGTCATTCCTACCGCGAATGTATTCTAACGAAATTTATGGTCCAATCTGTAAATATGGAAAGGACCAGAATTGGGAGGCTGGAAAAACATAATCTAGGTGAAGGGGCCTTAAACTAAATGGATGTATAAAGCTGCAGTATGGGACCTCTGACCTTCTGTTTCCCTTACACTTCTTAGATATTAAAATCCCCTAAGTAAATAATCCCTATTTTTGGCCCTGTAATTAACGTGCCTGCTAAGGCATTGCTGACTTGTTTAATGTTGCTGTTACCATAACCCCCAAGTCCTTTCCGCAATCTGTATTGGCTAAGTTTGTACATTATATTAACTTAAAAGTGCTAGGGTCATGGACACTCCGCGCTTCAGAACCTTGCCATTTAAACTACATAGAACTCATCTGCCACTTTTCTGACCAGAGTCAGTTTGTCTAAATCCTCCAGAAGTTCCCTTAACATGCTACGGTTTGAATCAATTTCCTACCTATCATCGTGTATCGGCGAATATTGCTCATATCAACTAGTACCTGTCCTTTCATCAAATCTTTGATATATATTAAAACAAACAACGGCCCCAAGACTGATCCCTGTGGAATCGCCATTTTTTACTGACCCCACTCTGATTTAACCCCATTTATTGACACTCTCTGCTTCCTTCTGTGAGCCATGATTTCGATCCCACGAGAGCAACCCTTCCCCCAATGCCATGAGCTGCCACTTTCTTTAACAGTCTATGGTGCGGAACTCTATCAAAAGCCTTACTAAAATCTAAGTAAATAATATCAAATTCTTTATTGTGGTCAACAGCCTCAAAATCTTTACTGAAATGTAATAAATAGGTAGAATTATAACCGACATATGTAAATAAAAGGACACAGGTGCAACTAATGTGACATTTATTGTGGCAACGTTTCGCTCTCCAGGAGCGAATGATCTCACACACTTCTATTCCAGTCAAGATACCAAGCCAAAAAAGGGGCTCATAGGGGTTTTTTCCTAAACATACCGAATTTGAAAGCCCCTGAGTTTCTTGACGGGAATGACTTACTTCCCCAAAACATTCATGAGTTAAAATTTTCCTTCTTTTTTATCAAAACGAAAGAAAAGACTTTTCAACACAATTCTCCAGCATCAAACCGCCCCCCAATTTAAAATTTCTTCCCAACAGCCGGGTTGCACAAAAAACGTTCAAAATACTTTCAAAGCTAACCCCAGATCGCCATCGCTTCTCCCCTTCAGTAAAGGATCAACCAGGAAAAAACCCACACCACAACCATCAATGCAGGAGTTTCACTATACCCTGTGGAGGCGGGTGACACAATTTAGTGGTGAAAACGAAAAAAAACCTCGAAAAACCCGCCTCAATAACAATATACGCTGTAGGAACGCAATTTAAAACAAGCCTTTGTGAAAACAACCCAAAATTTTCCACCAAATCATTTATGAAATTCAGAGAGCCCAATTAGTGATAAAAAAACAAATTTTTCCGCACACGCAAGTGCCTTGAACCCCAATGACCCGTTTTCAAATACAATTAAACAAAACACGGCAGCTTCACCATTCTGAAGTCTTAGAAAGAATCCCCTGAAAACGAAAAACCTGCCTCACATATTTCTCCTTTATACACACACAGACAGAGAGTGAACATGAAACAACCTGCCTCATTCCAGTTTATTTTGTCCAACCTATTTTTATGTTCCCCAAGTAATTTTTATCCTTTTACTCATGTACGAATTTAAATTGCTCACCAAATTGTATTATTTTGTCACACCACTAACTACTATACTACTACTAGTGAACACGAAATGGTACCTCACTAGTTTCCCCTCACTTGAGCCTTTTATACCCTCTGTTCCATTTTTTTTGTAAGGTTTGATAAAGCCCTGGGAGAGCGAAACGTTGCCAAAATAAATTCACTTTTAATTTGCACTTGTGCCCTTTTACTTTACACTTTACGAAAAAAGTTAAAAAAATTAGTTAGACAAGACCGGCCCTCTTTGAATCCATGCTGAGATCATTAATAAAGCTATGTTTATCGAGATGGCTTCTTAAATCTCAGCTATAATTGACTCTATAATTTGCCTAAAATTTGAGGGGCTTTTTTGGGCGGTAATTTGACGGAAAACGCTTTCCCCTTTTTAAAAATAAGAATTACATTAGCCCTCTTCCAATATCACACTACACCTGTTAAGAGATAAAATTAAATATTAGTTAAAGGTTTACAGACTTCCCTTAAAAAAAATCACAGGACCGGTGACTTATTTTGCTTCAGCGGGCTATCGCTTCATAACATTTCACTAGTGCTGTGATGTTTCATAATTTTTTCTTCTTCTGTCCACTAAAAAATTAATTACCGGGAAAATTATTAGTGTCTTCCTTGGGGAAAAAATGAGAGAAAATAAATTTTTTAAAATCGAGCCCCATTTGATTCTCTTTGTCAGTAAAATCCCTAGTTATTTTTAAGGGGGCCTATCTTATCTGATTTGTTTATAGACCCGGAAAAAAATTTTTGGGTTAGTTTTAGAAACCCTAGCAACTTTTAAATTTTATAGTCCCTTTTAGCTTTTTTTAAACCCCCTTTTTTAATTCCCTCTTAATGTCAATAACTGTTCATAAGAGACCCCCGCCCCTTTTGATACGCCTATAAAAATTCCCTTTTTATCCCTAGTTGTATTTCAGCCCTTTTTTCACCATTTTGGTCATTTCTATTTGATTAATTTTCCCTTTTAAGGGATAAACGTTCTTTGAGCAGCATGTATTGTGTTCAGAAAACTTCATATTGATAGCTCTCTTTGTTACCCCCCGTCAAAGATGATAAATGTT